CTTAAGGGAAGCAGAAAAGAAAAAGGCTAAAGAACACATTACGTCAGAAAATAGAAGCATATATGAAAAGGATCAATAACAACTGGAAAAAGCTAGAATAGATTGCTCAGGACAGGGTTGGATAGAGAGAGCTGGTGGGTGGCCTATGCTCTTCTACGAAGGATAACAGGCGTAAGTAAGTAAGTGGGTAAGTATAGATCAGTGTTTGAAGTCGATGTTAGCTAAGTAAATGGAACATAGAGTAAGCATGTTTTTATTCTTCACTACATAGAATTGTATAGTTCGAATACACAATACATTTGCACAATTCATTTGATGTTGTTTCAAGTGAAATGTTAATTCATATTCATTATTTTCAAAATTAAAAAGAAAGTGATTAACTAAGGTAGTTATTGTTACATAATAATGAAGAATACAATTGCAATCAGAGAATAAGAAGATGACATAATCAAGTGAAAAGAGTTTAAAATATAATTTACAAAATCAGTTACTTAAAACGTTGGAGTCAGTCAGTCGGTCAGTCAGCTACAACGTAGAACCAGGCACATATATGCATCGGTTCAAGTTGCCATACCTCATTAACACAACAAGATGAACACTGGATTCATAGGAGTAGTCAAATCAAGGGTGCTGATATAGAAAAGAAAGAATGCAATAAGGGTATAGTACAGGAAGAAAGATTTAGTACGTAGAAATAAAGATATGAAGCGATTTTAATCTCTTAGTTTAAGGGAAGACAGTGAGTGTATGCACCTACGCCATTGTGATCGATTCTGACCCATATCACTCAGGGTCTCCAATCATTGGTTACGATAGTCACGCGAACACCAACCAAGTAGTCTGCATCTACCAACATAGTTCAGACTGGAATTTAGTGACTTCAAGGACTGATGCCACGTTTTGGTTTGGCCGCCCCTAACTTTCTTCCAACCGTCCCCAACACTAGTCTACATTGAGCATCGTGGTAATCGGTGTTCAAGCGTACACGACACGTGAACCAACCATCTCAATAGATAAAGATTCACAATCTCATCAACTGATTTACCATCGTTCCCTAATACCCTGCGTCTAAACTCACTATTACTTACCCGGTGATCCCAGCGGTTGCAAGCAATATTTCTAAGGCATTTCTGTAGTCAAATACTAGTAGCTTACGAATATTCTATACTCTTAATAACCACGTTTTGCAGCCATAAATTAAAACAGAACGAAGTGCTGCACAGTATACTCGTCCCTTAATTGACAGACGGATATCTCGCCTCCGCCATAGGTGACGTAAGTTGGTAAAAGCTAAACCAGCTTTTCGTGCCCGTGCTGAGATTTTGTCAGATTTCTGTAAAAGATTAGTAGCATATCATCATCTCAAAGGTGATTATTCCGAGTGTGGACAGCTATTGGTTAACTGTTTATGCATAAATCAATTTTATTGTGAATAACCTGATGAAAATGCAATAGGTATGCTTATCCAAATGTCAGCTTTTGTCTCTAGACAACGATATGTAGCGCTGTTTTATGAAGAACATGTTTGAAATGAAAAAGATTTCAAGAATGAGGTAGATGGTAGCTGAGAATCTCCTAAGAAGCAGATCGGATCGATACACATCATTATCAAGTTCTAGAACGCTTATAACTGAATATGATTGATTGACTATAGGAATCCTTAGATGATCTAGGTTTCGTGTTAACTAACACTCGCTAACAAGATGTATTTGAAATAATGATGCAATTGGTGATTCTTATGAGATTCTAATCCACACTAGCCAGTGTCACAGTTTCAGAAGTTTCCATTGAGCTATTCGGATCGTGACTATTTTCCGGTAGAAGTGGAATATTTACTAATGCCATCTTTGTCTAGTGCATAATGTTGAACGAATTTTATTGATCAAACTGTGATTTAGTATTTTGTAAGATAACAAATCTACGACCAGTGTAATTACATTCATGTATATAACTGGATGATGTAATAGCATTTGAAGCGAACAGTACTGTGTTCGAGCCCCGGAGTGAATATCAACTCTGGGATGCAGATAAATCCAGCTGACGAGTCCAAAATAGGACGGAACGCATATCATGGATTCCACTACCAGCCACCATATATCTTTGCTTATCATTCTTATATTAGTAATGGTCATTTGATTATTTACAAAATGAGTATTACGTGAACGATTATTCTAGAGTTCACAATAACAACAAATAAGCAAGTTTCTGAACATTAAATAAATAGTTAAAAGTGTACATAAGCTTAAAACTATTTACATTAAATAGTTTGAATTATTTTTTCTCGTTAAAGTTTTTTGAGCAAGTTAGTGTTAAACAGGAACTGGGGTCGCTAACCCCATGCTCAACCCTTCTCCTTTATCCGAACTTACGACCGGTAGTAACCCTAGATGGGGGCTCCAGGCGGGTCGGCAAAGCAAGAGCAGCATATCTAAAATTGAAGAACATCTGGAACTCAAAACAACTCTCTATCAGCCAACACCAAGGTCAGAATTTTTAATGACAATATTAAAACAGTTCTACTCTATGGGGCGGAAACTTGGACAACAACGCAAGCTATCATCTACAAGATACAGGTGTTTATTACCAATTGTCTACGCAAAATACTTCGGATCCGTTGGCCAGATACTATCAGCAACAATCTACTGTGGAAGAGAACAAAACAGATTGCATTGGAGGAAGAAATGAGGAAGAAGTGCTGAAAGTGGATGGGATACACATTGAGGAAAGTACTCGAGTGCGTTACAATGCAAGCGCTCACTTGAAATTCTCAAGTTCAAAGGAGAAGAGGAATTTTAAAGAAATGGAGACAGATATTAGAAGAATGTACAAAAATTGGATAGAACTAGAAAGGAACATTCAGGACAGAGTGGGTTGGAGAATGGTGGTAGGGGACCTATGCTCCATTAGGAGTTACAGGCGTAAGTAAGTAACTCATCTCTTTCTATTATATGAAATAAAAGTTCCTCCCTTTTGAATTTCGCGCAAGACATTTCAGTCAATTCTGATTGGCTCATTCCTACCTAAGATTTGCAGTACGTGATATTAAAATGCAAATATGTATACGTTTCTATGATTTACTGTAAATGGAAGTGATACTATAATTTACAAATATGAATATATATCACACGTTTCCATCTTTTCTAACATGTAGATTTTTGATTGAGATCATAAATCGATCAATGTTAGAGCATTATTGAAAACCTGGAAGCACTGGATGACCGTCTCTTCCTAGTATGAGGTTGCTCAACAGTGTATATCCACGATCCCGCACACATGATTCGAAACAGACATCTAGTGCCTCCAGGTTTTTAATGGAACTCTAATATTGAACAATTCATGATCTCAATCAAACCTCAGCAATCACCAAAGTCTTATGCAGAAAGGGAAACGGAAAATTGGAAGGCCAGAGAACACACTACGTTGGGAATTAGAAGCAAACATCAAATGAATGAATAGCAACTGTATACAATTGTAAAAGATTGTTCAGGATAGAGTTGGATGGAGAATGCTGATGGATGGCCTATACTCCATCACGAATAGCAACAAGCATAAGCAAGTAAATAAATAAGCTCAGAATAGATTCTTTTACGTGTGGTAGAGTTTTAGAACAATGGTGAGACTATAATTTATGGACGAGTTAGTCAGAAGCGTTTGATGGATTTCAAGGTCAGAGTGCCAATTTCAGTACCTGATGCTCATGTACGATCGGCTCATAGCGGAATATAGAAAAAACATGATAACTGAGCGATTACAACAAATGGGACTACTCGGAAGTTCCTTTACTTGTAATTTTGTTAATCACACGACTTGTGCAAACTACCGCGATGATGTTGTCTTTCGATGTAATTTATGTTGGAGGAAGAAGTTTGTTAGAATAAGTTTTTTTCACTCGATCCAGATTGAAACTAAAGTAAATTGCAAACTGGATAACGAAAGCACCAGTAACACTGGCTGCAGCCATGTACTACAATATATACGGATGATTGGAGAGAGTACAGATGCCTACATAGACTTGATTATGTGCATTGTGTCGTTCTCCACAAGTGACATTTTGTGGACCTAACAACCAGAGTGCACACAAACAATATTGAAGCTATGTGGTCGAGGTTGATAGAGTTTTCGAGATCTCACCATGTCTCCAGAGGTCAACTATTATACAGCCATATAGATGATTTTTTCTACCGTATGCATTACGACTTTAGACAAGTTTTTGAACCATACAAAAGAAGTGTATTCACTTTATTTCTTTGGTTTTGTATAATATATTTTGACATTATACAGACTGTTTTCTGGTGGCGTTTTGTTCTTTGAGCCGGATGGTTTCGTCATGGAGCTTTCATCGCTCTTCTGAACGACATCATCAGCACAAACTTCAGATAGAAGTGAAGTGTTCAAATTTCTCCATATGCGTTTCACAGCTTGTTCTGTACACCTCGACGTCCAACTGAGCTACAAATCTCCCCCATCATCTCAAGACTGTTTTCTGACTGGCTAATATTCGAATAAGAAAGATTAGTTCAACGTTGCGGAGATTGTTAAGTTTTTGATTGAGATCATAAACCGATTGATGTTACACCACCATTTAAAACCTGGAAGTACTGGATGGCTGTTTCGTCTCATTGTGTGACTCCTCAGCAGTGCACACCCACGATCTCGCTCGTGGGATTCCAACCCAGGGCCTTCAGTCTCGCACGCGAACGCCTAACCTACCTGACCACTGAGCCGGCATCCAGTGGTGTTAGTGTCTATCTTATACCAGTCCATGAAATTGCGTGACTATCTTTCATTGTACTGAGATAGATACCTGTCTCTACTTGACACGGATTCGTTTCATTGGTCACGGCTTCTCACTAGAACTCCGAGAATTCCTTCATAAAGCTAGTCACTAGTGAGCATTAAGTTTTTGATTGAGTTCATGAACCGATTGAACCGATTTCTCAAGGTCACTTAAGATTCGTTTAAAGATTCGTTTGTTACGAAAAAAAAAACTATTAACTTACTATGACAAAATACTTCACGATTATGATCACATGCAGTACCACGATCAAGAAGACGTTGACAATCATTACATTTAAAGCATAAACGATGAAATACTTTACCAACTGCATCTATTCTTTCATTTGCATAAACAATATCTGAACAATTTGCACAACGTGTTGAATTACAATTTCCACTAGACCATCGTATACGAAATGGACGTGGAATATAATTTCCACTATGTTCTAAATGAGTTAAACGATCTTGTGAATGATAATCTTGTGATTGACTATATATTGACTAGATTAAGATAATGAAAGACTTACTTTATCATTGGACTATGAGAATGTGAATAACCATTCATTTTAGTACAATCTCTGTAGAATAGTAACAAAAAGACAAAACAAAAAATAGAAACAGAGGGATAGTGAGATAGTGGAGAAGATTTGTAGTTCAGTTAGATGAATTCTGTTTGAGCTTTATTCTCTGAACTGGATGGTTTGATCGTGAGAGCTTTCATTGTTCTTCTGAACGAAATCATCAGTACAAATGTTAGGTAGAAGTGAAGTGTTTGAATTTTTCCACATGTGGTTCAAATCAAAGATCTACAGTACAAGTTGTGAACTATATGTGTAGAAATTCGAACACTTCACTTCTACCTGAAGTTTGTGCTGATGATGTTTTTAAGAAGAACGATGAAAGATTCATGACCAAATGATCCAGCTCAGAGAACAAAACTCCATTAAAATAGAAGAATAATTTTTGAAGATTTCTAGAAGGATTAATTCTTTTGATGAGACTGTAATTTATGGACTAAAATGATCTTGGAACGTCTATTTAATGACTAGGGTTATAGATTAGTGTGAGGAATTAGAATTCAGATTTATGATTAAACTTTACAGTTAGGAATTAGATTTAGTTTTTTCACCAGGAACTGACATCAGTTATAATGTCAAAACCTGGTGGCACTGGACGGCCGTTTCCTTTTAACATGGGACTCCTCAGCAGTCCGTATCTACGATTCACAAGACTCCTCTCTGATTATAATTATCATATGCTCACTGGTGAAGGTCTCCAAGAGGTATTTCCTAGAGTTCTAATGAGAAACAGTGAACAGTAGAGTTCAATCGGGTCTGTTGTGAGATATTAACTCACTGATGACAATGATGGACGGTTGCTCAATTTTGTGGATTACTTACTTACTTACTTACGCCTGTTACCCCCAATGGAGCATAGGCCGCCGACCAGCATTCTCCAACCCGCTCTATCCTGGGCCTTCTTTGTTGCTAATAGTATCCGGCCAATGGGTCTGAAGTATTTTGCGTAGACAATTGTTAATAAACACCTGTATTTTCTGGATGATGGCTTTTGTAGCTCTCCAGGTTTCTGCCCCATACAGTAGAACTGTCTTGACATTTGTATTGAAAATCCTGACCTTGGTGTTGGTTAACAGTTGCTTTGAGTTCCAGATGTTCCTCAGTTGTAAATATGCTGCTCTTGCTTTGCCGATCCGCGCCTTCACATCTGCATCAGATCCACCCTGTTCGTCAATGATGCTGCCCAAATACGTAAAGGTTTTTACATCTTCCAAATCTTCTCCGTCAATTGTGATTGGATCGGTGCATTCTGTGTTGTATCGGAGAATCCTGCTTTTCCCTTTGTGTATATTGAGACCTACTGCTGCTGAGGCTGCTGCCACACTGTTCGTCTTCTCCTGCATCTGTTGTTGCGTTTGGGATAGAAGGGCCAGATCGTCTGCGAAGTCTAGATCATCCAACTGCATCTTAGATGTCCATTGTATCCCGCGCTTCACTTCAGACGTTGACGTCTTCATGATCCAGTCGATCACCAGGAGAAAGAGTAAGGGTGAGAGTAAGCAACCTTGCCTAACACCGGTCTTCACTTCGAACGACTTTGTCAACTGTCCTCCATGCACAATTTTGCAGTGTAATCCATCATATGAGTTCTGTATGATATTGACTATCTTCTGAGGCACTACGCCTGGAGTCCCTAACTCCGCCTGGAGTCCCTCTGCGGGCTACTGCCGGTCCCAAGCCCGGATAAAGGAGGAGGGTTGGGCATGGGGTTAGCGTCCCCAACCCGTAGAAAACTAACTCGCTAAAAAAACGCTAACCAGAAAAAATTATTCAAAAATTGTTCAATTTTGTGGATTAGTTGAAGTTTAACATTAACACTGTTGGATGCCAGTTGGCTCAGTAGTCTAGGGGTTAAGTGTTCGGTTTTGCGAGACCAATAGGTCCTGGGTTAAAATCTCTTGAGGTGGGATCGTAGATGCGCTTTGCTGAAGAGTCCCATAATAAGACGAAACGGCCGTCCAGTGCTTCTAGATTTTCCATGATGGTCTAACTTCAATTGACTCATGAGCTTAACTATTAAATTACTACAATCTCAACATTAGTTAAAGAACAAAAAATGGGCGTTATATAAAAAGAGATTCAGTTATACATTTAGACAACCATCCTCATTTAAATGATGAGTAATTATAGTTTGCTATGAATTCCACCCTCGTTTATTGCTCTGGTTTATTCATTATTATATACATAAACTGTTTTGCTGAAAAAAACTGTGGAGGGAAGTTATAAAAACATGAATTTACAAACTTCAATACAGATTAGTACAGTCCTGAAATTCGTCAGGAATTACATTTTTCACTTGCCTTGTCGTTGATTTTACATTTTGTCATTTACGTACTGTCTAAGTACTACTTCGCTCCCGAATGCCCTGGTACGACCGAGTGTGAGAAGAGCCAGCTCTTCCTCTCCAAATGCTCTCACATGGCCACGTGCATACAACCATTACCAGGGAAGTCCTATACACTGACTTCTTGTGGAGGGGGTGTTGTATACGAAACTGAGAGGACAAATGGTGAATATCCGGTGCTTTAATCGAGTTGGTGAATATGGAGGATCCACTGAGGGAATTTGGAAAACCCCCATTCAAAACCATTGGTGTATATGGGATCCAGAATCCCAAGAAAACCAATGGCGTATGAATCAATTGTTGGTGACGGACCACCATGAGACCGGATCTCCTAACGTTTCCCCACTGCGTTGTAGATTAGACCTTTAAGTCAAAGGATCGATGTATGGTCCCTTAAAGAAACCACCTGCTTCGGATTCCATAAACAGAAAACTTGTCGAAAGTTAATTGTGATGACTAGACTAAATGATCTACAAGAGTGATTGGATTATGGTTCAATTATGAATAACAACTTCTATCTAGCTGAGAAAGTATATTTCTTGACTTTGGAAAGAAATTACAATGTTCATTAATTAGTACCAGAATGAAAACATGCCAATAAGATCAATGACAACTCAAGTTGTCATACGTTTTAATACAAGACAATTGTAGCTATTTGAGTCGCTTATTTAATGTACTAAGTAGTATACTAGATTTGTAAAGGCATATCTGTCAGATCAAATGATTACTTTAAACCAGTTATCAAACAAATTGTGTGTTTTTTTATTATTAACAATTTCAGTAGTATGTAGGTTAGAACAATACATACAACAATATTATTTTGTACTAGATCTTCATCGGACTTTACTCTAATATACATGAATATATATACATGGATGGTGGCTAGAAGTGGGATCAAAGACGCATGTTTCATTCTAATTGGAACTTTTCATCTACATGTACCTACAACTCAGAGTTGATGTTCTCTCTGGGAATTGAACTCAGTACCGTTCACTTTAAAGTTCATTGCGTTATTCACTTAGTTTATTCATTTGAAGTGAATGGTACTGGGTTCGAGTCCCAGAGTAAACATCAATTATCTGATGCAAATACATCTAGTTGACGAGTTCCAAATAGAACGAAACGTGCGACCTTGATTCCATTGCTAAACACCATCCATCTTTGCTTATAAAGCTTGTGATTTAAGGCAATCCTCACAGGATGCACATATGCCAATGAGATACTGATCAATTGAAGTCCTAAACAACCATGATAAGATATAAGCAAATAATATCTAGTGAATATATATGCACATTTGAGAAATAACAAACTAATCAAAGTAATTTGGAAGTCAATGATAACAATCAAATAGAATACGTGATTCATCATAATAATTAGTAGGTACACGTTGATAGTGAAATGACAAGTGTGTTAATTGTGAATGAATAGTAAAGAGCATGATAGTATTAATAAGACTACTTAAATAAGAAGTAGGTCAAAGTTTGAAGAAACAAACAGTCAATTTATGCATATAAATGTTAAAGAGGAGAATAGGAACTAACAAATGATAGATACTGACGAAATCTCGGAACGGATACAGAAGGCTCGACTAGTTTTTGCTAACTTGCATCATTTATGACGTAGACGAGATATCCATCTACTAACCAAAGGAAGAGTTTACTGAGCAGCAGTTCATTCCGTCCTATTTTATAGCAGTCAAACATGGTCGGTAAGAGTAGAGGATATTCTTGGGTTGCTAGTATTCGATCATCGGTGTCTTCGAAACATTGCTCGTATATCCCGGGACCACTGAGTAAGTAATGCAGTTGTTAGGAAATGGGTACTAGGTAAGAATGGCAAATCAATTGATGAAGTAGTGAAAATTCGTCAGTCGAGATAGCTGGGACATGTGTTACATATGGCCAACCACCGACTGCTCCGACGTGCGATGTTTTCTGGTGTAGGAGTAGGTTGGGAGAAAGCTAGGAGCGGCCAGATCAAAACATGTCATAAATCCATGATGTCACTGGCAAGTGGTCTGAGACATGTTGGTAGGTGTAGACTTTATGGTTGGGATCTGCAAAACGATAGCAACCGATGTTTAGAGACCTTGGATGTGACATGGCTCGAAATCGTTTGCAGTGGCACAGGTGCATCCATTCTTTGTGTTCTCCCAAATTCCAATTTTCTCAATTCTTCATGTCCCTTATTTTCTTTCCAAATTTATTTCACTGGTTTATACTCTTTAAATAACATCTTCAAACCCTAATGTTTCCGATAACTGCTTATACTTTTATTATCTCTACCACTATGGGATTTGAATCGACCATTGCATCTCTGTGCTAATGTGATATGGCAACTCGAACCGATGTACGAACGTACGAGGTTCTACGTTGTTGCTGACTGACTGACTGTTAGGTTTGATTTCAGATAAAGAAAAGGACTGAGAAATTCGGAACCTTTTTTGAATACGAACTCTGATGTTGTTAGCTTGAGTCATTATAGCTTCTGTCCTAAGTAAGTGACTGTCGTAACTAATTGTTGAAGACTCTGGATGACGTGGCTCAGAATCGATCACAATGGTGTAGGTGTATAAACTCTCTGTCTTCTATTAAACGATGAGAATAAAATCGCTTCATATCTTTCTTTCTACGAACTAATTCTTTCTTCCTGTGCT